CACAGCTTCACACAATAACTTCTGTAGTAGGCCTCCAATCAGGGACACCCTTGACACATACCTAGCCTCAGCAACTTTTTTTCTATCCTTAACTCTAAAGCCAGAACCACATGGCTGAAGCTGCCAAGTTCTTTTGCTTACTGTGCCTGGAACATGGCCCCCTCATTCAGTTACATCTTCACCAGCTTTCTGTCTTTCACTGTCTAAGCTTGGCTGTCCTGAAACTTGTTCTGTAGACTAAGCTGGCTTTAATCTCAGAGATCTGCCAGCCTGTGCCTTCCAAGTTGTCCTACCACATTCAGCTCTAAGCTTTTTTTTTAGTTCCTTTTCACAACTTGGAAATTTAGCTGGGTGGGATCTTTCTCTGAGGTTACCACTCTCTTTATTCCATTTCTTAATCTGTTTCTCTCCTTGAACACAGGATTTACTCCATTCCACTTCCTGGTGCTCTTTTTGTCCTCAAAATTTACTTTTTGTAATTTACCCTGCTCATTATAAATCTTCATTAGAGTTACCACTAATAACCACACGACACGGTCTATGATAGACTCTCAAGAGATTTCCTCTGCCAGTGGAATTAATCCAAACACTTCACTTTTGCCTCAGGCAGACTCTTTGGACAAGGGCAAAAGGCAGCCATCTTCTTCACCAAAATAACACAGGAATGATTTCTAGGCAACACACTAAAATTCTTTTCCTCTGAAACCTCTTGTATAAGCTCCCCACAGTTCAAATAACTCTTAGCACCACTGTCTTCTTCCATGCTCCTACTAGTATGGCCCATTGAGCAGTGCTTAAAGCCTTCTACTGCTTTCCTAACCTTAAACTCCCAAAATTCATATTTCTGCAAACAAAACCATGGTCCAGCCTATCACAGCAATATCCCAGTCCCTGGTACCAACTTCTTCTGTCTTAGGATTTCTATTGCTGTGAAGAGACACCATGGCCACAGCAACTCTTATAAAGGTAAACATTTCATTGGGGTGGCTGGCTTATAGTTTCAGAGGTTAGTTCATTATCATCATGGCAGGCAGCATGGCAGCATGCAGACAGACATGGTACTTGAGCTCAGAGTCCTACATCTTGCAGGCAACAAGAAATGAACTGAGACTTTGGGCCATATCCTGAGCATAGGAGATCGCAAAGCCTGCCCCTACAGTGACACACTTACTCCTGCAAGGCCATACCCACTCCAACAAAGCTATACCTCCTAATAGTGCAACTCCCTGTTCGATTATGGGTGCCAGTTGCATTCAGACTACGAAGTCATCAAGTTTGTGTGGCAAGCGCTTTTACCTGTTGAGCCTTCTCTGCAGCATGACTAACAATTTTTATAGGTACATCCATTTAAAATGAAAAGGTTGTTTCAATATGTAACAAAACAGAAAAGATTTTTAACCAAAAGGGTTTGCTTATCCGAATTCCCATAACTGCACTGCAGTGAGTTTCTCCCTTCCCCCAGAATTTGGAATTTAGACCAGATATTTAAGAGATTTTTATTATGTATACAGTCTTCTGCCTGCATGCCAGCAGAGGGCACCAGATCTCATAATGGATGGTTGTGAGCCACCATGTGGTTGCTGGGAATTGAACTCAAGACCTCTGGAAGAACAGTCAGTGCTCTTAACCGCTGAGCCATTTCTCCAGCCCTTAGACCAGATATTACTTACTTCAAGTTAATTATAAAATCTGTTTACAGTATATATGTACACACACACATACCCCACTTATTTAAAATTTTGAGCTATCTTCAAAACATACGTGTATACATACACACATCTTTACATCTGTATATACAGAAATAAAAATAGTGCTTAGTCTTGTATTCTTATCTTCTACCACCAACATCTGGTTCTCTGCTCTTGTGTATTCCTGGCACTTGTCATTGTAACCTAGGCTAGCTTCAAACTCAAGGCACTCCTCACTCTCCCAGGTGCACGTGTTACCTATGCTCTTACTTGATATGCATAGTATTAAAACAATTTCCCCCTTTTTGCTTTACATGTGTTACTGTGTTATATCCAGAAAGGCAAATTTTACCCCCCCCTTTTTTTTTTCTTCAATATGGGGTTTCTCTGTGTAGCTATGGCTGTCCTGAAACTCACTCTATAGACCAGGCTGGCCTCAAACTCAAGAGATCTCCTGCTTCTGCCTTCTGAGTGCTGGTATTAAAGGCGTGGATCACCACCACCTGGTTTGTGTCGTTTTAGAGTTTCTAATCCCTTATATGAAGGAGCCAAGTGAATTTGGCAAGATTGGTGTGATAGCACTAGATGTTCCATTTTTATGCTGAGTAGAATCATATTATGACCTTAATTGAAAAAAAAAAATCCAACACATGTATTGTGGCAACATTAAACTTCTTAGTGCTTTTTTTTCTCTCCAAATGCATGTGTTCTATTTCTTTCTGTTCCATATGCTCTTTTTCACTGTAACCCTGAATAAGGGTAATCAGTAATAAGTATGCACTCAGGAGGCAGAGGCAGGCAGATCTCTTTGAGTTCGAGGCCAGCCTGGTCTACAGAGTGGGTTCCAGGATGACCAGGCCTACACAGGGAAATACTGTTTCAAAAAACCGAAAAGAGATGGGGGTTCTCTGACTCAATCTTTCCACTCCCTCTTCCTAGATGTATCGTGCCCCCTGTGTCACCCCCCAGTCTGTTCTCTGCATTTTTGTAATGGTTTTGTCTGCTACAAACAGTGGATGCTATACTTATCTGAGGCTGTGAAGATAAATATTTAGAATGGGGTTGGAAATTATACTTTGATTTTTTTTGCATCAGTAATTTGTTATAGTGTATACATATAATTCTCTAGGCTGAAAAAATAACTAGCAATTGGTAGACAAGATCTGTGGAAGATAGGATTACACAACAGAACAATTGATGGTTCTGGTGAAGTTGTTATGGAGGGAGTCCTGCCCTCTGCTCATTGCCTTATCACCACCACCCCATAAATATGGATAATAAAAAATATCCATATTTTTATTATTTCATTTATTTATTTATTTATTGAGTCTGTCTTGGAACTCCAGTGATCCATCTACTTCTAGCTCCTGAGTATTGAGATTAAAGGCATGTGCCACCATACCCACCTACCAGTAGATTTTTTAAAAATTCTATTTGTGGTCACATCATCGTTTCCCAGAATAAACATTTAGCATACTTTGCTTGAAGAAAAATGAATTAAAGTATGAGTTTTAACACAAATAGGTTGAGTAAATAGCAACAATGCAACTTTTATTTCCATATATTTAGACTTTACCATCAGGAACTAAAATTTGACAGTTGTAATGATAAATGAGTCTTTGAAATACCATTACTCTATGATAGAGCAAGTGTAACAGATAAATGTAAAAAATTTAAAAATGGTACTAAGTTGAATAATGATTTGGAAAGCATAAAATTAAACTTCTCTTGGACATTGAAGGTTGACAATAGTGTTTAATATCTTTCAGGAGTATTACAGTTGAATTTAGATTAGAAACGTGCATTATGCTCCATTATTAAAATCTTCTGGGGGCTAAGGAGGCTGTTCAGTATCAATCAGTTTGACCCAAGAACAAAAATGAAATAGGGCAAAATAGGCAAAAATAATGAAGTAGAAAATAAGCCATAAAATAGTATTGATGAGATCAGTAATGATTTTGTTTGGTAATACCAATGGAAAAAAAATAATTATAAAAGTATTTTACAACTTCTGATACTGAATTTATATATTTTTTTTGAATCTTGGTTTCATTTATTTAGGGGATGTCACATTTCGGATACATGGGTTAATATGTTGGGGTATATGTTGGTTTTATGGTATAGTTTATGACATATTTGTATATAAAATTACTACAAAATCTTTACTTAATTTTTTCGTAAATGTTTTTTGTCCTTTGGTGGTGGGGGTGAAGGGTCTGCTAGGGACTAATTATTGAATTTAGGGTTCCTTGAAAATAGTTGGAAGTTCTAACAAAATATATGTTGAAAATTTGGCTTCTCACTGAAGGCCAAAGGGTAAAATTAAAAACTAGAAAGTGGCCTGTTATAAATTATGGAGTGCTTATAGAATCTCCTGGAAGGTCATGTATCAAGAAAGAATATTCGCTGGCAGTAGTGGCACATGCCTTTAATCCCAGTACTTGGGAGGCAGAGGCAGGTAGGTGTATCTCTGTCAGTTCAAGGCCAGCCTGATCTACAGAGTGAGTTCCAGGACAACCAGGACTATTTCACAGAGAAATCCTGTCTCAAAAAAAAAAAGAATATTTATGTTAAATGTATATATTATTTTAAATATATATATTTATATATATTTAAAGTAATGTGAGCATAGTTTGAACTTTCTTTGTAACATTCCTTTTTGGATTTTTTTTTGAGTATGTTTGTTTGACCTGATTAATTCTTGAAATAATGTATCTAGTAGGTAACAGCAGGCCATTTTGGACACATCAATGGTTGAGTGCAGAAATTTGTTTGGAGAAAGAGAACCTTATGGGTCCTAAAAGTGAACCTGCACATTGTTGCTAAACATTTATAGCCCTAGAAACAAATTTTAGGAATATTTTTACTCTCAAAGTAGCAGTTATGTGGCAAGAAAGTTTTAAAAAGAAAGAGAAATTTTAAGATAGAAACTCTAAAAATTAGGTAGATACAGTTAACAATTTTAATCAGTATTTGAATGTGATGTGTCTGATTCTGTTGCATTAATTCTATATAATTTTTTTCTGCTTATTTGAGGGAATTTAATTAATATGTAGTAAGTAGATAAAGACTTCAATGTCTGAAGAATCTTAACTTGGTACTACACTACATACTTGACCTTTGGCAAATTATTTAATTCATTAAAGCATGGGTCATTTCCATTAGTGTTGTGAGGTTTTCCATGACGTAGACACTGTGCTTTGTACAGTACTTAACATAAATGCTTAATGTTACTCTATATTGGCAGAGAGAATATCTGTTGCTATATAAAATTTAAGAAGGATATTAAAATATATTTTTGTTATTTTAAAGGAAATTCGAAATGAGTCCCATGACTATCCTCATAGAGTGGCCAAGTTTCCAGAAAACAGAAATCGAAACAGATACAGAGATGTAAGCCCATGTAAGTACTGTGGGTTTATGTGCATTTGTGTGTTTTCAGTTTGTTTCAGGAGACATACAGTGAAATAGAGGGTTTGTGGTAGATTGACTATATAGCAAGTTTTAAAAAGTTATATACTTTTTGTTTTGTTTGAGACTAGGCTCCACTTAATAGTCCAGGCCATATTGGAAGTTACTGTGTAGTACAGGTTGACCTCAGATTTGCAGCAGTTCTCTTGCCTCAGCCTCCAGAATATTGGGATTGTAAGTGTCAGCCATCACAGCAGGTTTAACATCTACATTTTCTCATGGGTATTCATGCACATGTCAATGAACTGTCATTTTTTTATCATCGGTGATGAGTTTGTAGGGTTAAAATATACAACATTCTATGCACATTTGCATATGTCTCTAATCCTAGCACTTGGGAGGTAGAGGCAAGAGGGCTGGGTGTTTAAGGGTGGACTGGGTTACATTGGAACCTGTTTCAAAGGAACAAAACAAAAATATATAAAATAAGTTTGGACTTCTAGCACATTTTAGATGTGTATTCCAATATTAGATATATGGAATTATTTATCTCAAAAAATATATTAAGGGCTCATGCCTTTAATCCCAGCACTTAGGAGGCAGAGGCAGGCAGATCTCTGAGTTCAAGGCCAGGCGGTCTAGAGAGTGAGTTCCAGGACAGCCAGGGCTACATAGAGAAACCCCATCTTGGACAACCAAAAAGAAAAAAAAAAGGAAAAAGAAAGGAGGAGGAGCTTGGAATGTCTTAAATGTCTAGAAAGTAAGAATAAGACTTAACCAACAAACAAAAACTAATGAGAGTATGTCATAAAGATACCCAAGCCGTCTTTAAGTCCACTGGCCAATCTCAGGATAATTTGAACATTAAAATAATGATTTTTATTACCTAATGAATAAAGTAGGAATCCATGAGCCTATAATAATACTAAAATAAGCCGGCCGTGGTGGTGGTGGCGGCGGCGGCAGCGGCAGCACACACCTTTGATCCCAGCACTTGGGAGGCAAAGGCAGGTGGATCTCTGTGAGTTTGAGACCATCCTGGTCTACAAGAGCTAGTTCCAGGACAAAGCCACAGAGAAACCCAGTCTCAAAAAACAAAACAATAATAATAATAATGATAATAATAATAATAAATAAATGAATAAGTAAGTTGCAAAAAGGGAAAGTTCCACCTTTATATAAGATGCTGAATAATGTTGAAACAAGTTATTTACATTGTCTTAAAGTATCCTTCTGCTAAATAACTTAAATACAAGGGGAAGATAATAACTGTCCAAAAGAAATGAACAGGAGAAAATTCACGGCTCAGGCTGTTGAAGATGTCACCAAAAGCATAAACTATGCAGTTTTTAAAAATTAGTAAGTTGTAATAGCTGTGGTGTGTGTGTGTGTGTGTGTGTGTGTGTGTGTGTGTGTGTGTGGAGAGAGAGAGAGAGAGAGAGAGAGAGAGAGAGAGAGAGAGATGCTTATAACTGTAGTACTTGGGAGGCCAGGACAGGGGAATACTGTGAATTCCATATTTACATGGGCTACAGAGTAAAAGACCTTGTTCAGAAAAATAAAACAACTGAGTCATCGAATGGTGGTACATGCCTTTAATCCAACACTTTCCAAACTAGGACAGGGGACTGCTGTGAGTTCATAGCCAGCCAGCTGGATCTACATAGGGAGTTCCAAACAAGCCATGAATACATAGTAAGACCCTGTCTCAAAGAAGAAAAGGACTAAATGAAGCAGAGATAGGTAGATCTCTGAGTTTGAGATTGGTCTTTAGAGTAAGTTCTAGGACAGCCAGGACCACACAGAGAATCCCTGTCTGAGGGTAGGGGATGAACAAAAGGTATGAATATAGAAGACAGATAAACATGTGAACATAAGAAAAGTGTCATTAGCTATTAGAAACACTGGTTAAGGCCATGGTAGTGCAGTATCATCACATACCTACTAGAACAATTACAGGAGGTAGTACCCCATAAATTGCAGAGAAGCTTGATCTCCTAAGTGGCTGATAGGAATGGGAATGGTATAACTACTCTGCTTGCCTCACCTCTGAGGCTGGGTTCCTCTGTGTAGCCCCAGCTGTTCTGGAACTCTTTGTAGACTAAGCTGGCCTGGAACTCAGAGATCTGCCTGCCTCTGTCTCCCATGTGCTAGGATTAAAGTCACCAGCGGTGTGACTAGTTTCCAAAGACCTGAATGTACACTTTTGTCATCTAGCAATTAGATTTCTCAGCATTTATCTCAGAGAAGTGAAAACCCCATCCATGCACAGATGTATAAATGAATGTTTATACAGCTTTATTTGGCAACCCAAATGTCTATCAGTAATGGGTAATTAGTAAATTCATACTCTTGGATACTGTTCAACAATAAAAAGGAACAAACTATTAATATATACAACTTGGGTAGATCAAAAAGGATTTGGATTGAGAGTTAAAAAAAAATTCAATGTCAGAAGTTACATAACTATGTTTTTTGATGTTTAGTTTTCCGAGACAGGGTTTCTCTTTGTATACTTGGCTTTCTTAGAACTACTTTGTAGATCAAGCTGGTCTAGAACTCACAGATTAAAGGTGTGCACCATCACCACCTGGCAACAGTATGTTTTTATATAATACTTTCTTTTAAAGTTTATTGTCTGTGAGTATATGTGGGAATGTGTGTGTCGTGATGCAAGAGTAGAAGTCAGAGGGACACCTTTCACCATGGATTCCAGGCATCAAATTATGGTGAGCACTTTAAATAACCAATCCTGTGTAACTTTTTTTTTAAGTGGAGCCTTATTATATAGCTCTGGATGTCCTAGAACTTGTTGTGTGGACCACCAGCCTGGTCTCAGACTCATAGAAATTGACCTGCCTCTTCTTCCTAAAGGACTAAAGTTGTGTGCCGCTACACACAGCCTCTCACATTCTTGAAGTAGTTGACAGTATTAAGACTTTTTCTAGTGATGGAGTTAGAGGTTGGTGTGAGGGAAATGTGACTCAATGTAAAATAGCACACTGTACATTTGTGGTGATGTAATAGTTCTATACTACATACATAACTACATACATATAAAATTATGAATTATTATATACTCATAAACAAATGTCTATAAAGCTGAGAGAATTACAGTTAGGTATGAGTTGGACCAGTGTGTTTCCATGCTTTGAATTTAATATCCTCTTACACTTGCTTCTAGGCATCATAATCCTTGAGAGGTGGGACTCAGTGGTGAACATGAGCTTAACTTTATTTTACTGGTTTTTCAAGACAAGGTTTCTCTGTGTAGCTTTGGAGCCTGTCCTGGAACTCATACTGTAGACCAGGCTGGCCTCGAACTCACAAAGCTACACAGAGAAACCCTGTCTTGAAAAACAAAAAACAAACAAACAAAAAAATTGGCATTACTGCCCAATGTCAGCAAAAATGGGCATGATAGTATATCTGCTTTGTCAAGTTGTGAGGATTGAGATGGTAACAGCCCAGTAAGGTGTGCCATACAGTTGAAATGTTCAGACTTTCATGTTTGCTAAGATTTACATTTCTTTTCCATGAAAATGGTAGTGATTATGGGACTTGGATTTAGTTTTGTCTTTGGATAGGACTCCTTGCTCAGTTGATGGAAAAAAAAATTCTCTATCAGTTTTTAGAGTTGGATAGTGTCAGCATAGCTATAATCTATAGTGTCAGGAAAGTACCATAAGTAGACAGACATTAGGAAAGTGTAAGGAGAAAAAGTTAGCTGATAATATTATTATTCTGTCTTTGCTTAACTTGTGAGTTCATAATTGGTTTCTGCCATGATGAACATGAACCCTCCCATTTGTTGTTTGACATGTGAAACTCTGTAATAGGGGCCTCTAAGATGGCAATAAATTGGGTGAAATCTTTTTTAGTTTATAGTGAATGTTGAAAGAGGAAGCTTCTTTGTATGTCAGCCACAGACAGACTAAGTCATTTCTTGAGAGCTGAAACCATTTCTCAGAAAACCCTGAGGGTAGGAGGCAGAGAGACTTCATGAGAAGTGGGTGGGCTTAATTTTCATTCAATTTTTAAGTTACAGTACTGTTAGATACTGAATTTCTTCATTCACTCAGTGATAAGAATTAAAAACAGGTAATACCCTACAGAATAATAAATATGTTCCTTATAGTGCTGCTGGTGGTACTGTTAGGGAGAGAGAAGATTGCCCATGGAAATAAGTGATTCCTTCTTTTCCCTCCCTTTACTTCATCCTTTGAAAGATCACAAGCACACACACACATCCCAGAGAGAGGGAAATGACCTTAGGCATAGTGTGGACTTTGGGATTCAAATTGTAGAACTCTTGGCATTTTGATGATCTCACTTCAGAGAGTCCTGGGCAAAAAAAAAAAAAAAAGAAGTGACTTTCTAATTTTTTTCTAACTTAGAAGTCAAAGGTTTCCTTTGTTGGAAATAATCAATTCAGGGGTTCCAAAGAGGTGATTCAACAGTTAAGGAATCATGTGATTCAAGTTAACTACAGAGAAATGCTGTCTTGAAAAACCAAAAAAAAAAAAAATTCAAGGTAAGTTTCCAGCATCTCTATCTGGCAGCTTACAGCTACTGCTTACTCCGTCCAGTTCAGGGGATCAGAAGCCCTCTTTTAGAGCATCCACATCTACCTGTGTGCCTCCCCCCCCAAACATGTATATGTAACTAAAAATAAATCTTAAAAAAAAATTAAAATGAACAGTTCACACATTTGGGAGCGACTAACACTAGTGGATCAGAGAAAGGAAACAGTGTACCCCCAGGTTGTCAGGGAACCTTTCGAATTATTCAAAAGGAGCATATGTTCCTAGTAAGTGAAAAGGCAGCGTCCTTTACCTTAGCTGAGCATTGGAACTGGTAAAGTCACGGTTCTCAAGGTTTTGATGGAGGTTTCATTTCCTGAAATGTATATATATGGGTTCTCTCTTAAATATTTTAAGTGATGTATTTTAGTAACACAAAAAAAAAAACAAACAACAACAACAAAACACTTGTTGGGGACTAGAGAGGTGGCTCAGTGGTTAAGAGCTCTCTCTGGCTGCTCTTCCAGAGGTCCTGAGTTCAACTCCCAGCAGCCACATGGTGGTTCACAACCATCTGTAATGAGATCTGGTGCCCTCTTCTGGCCTGCAGGCAAATATGCAGATAGAATACTGTATACATAATAAATAAAACTAAAAAAAAAAAGGTTTGTATTTTTTCTTTAGAATCTCTTCTGAATCAAAAAATTGTGTTTCTTTTTAATTTATTTCTTTGATACAAGGTCTTATGTAGTTCTGGTGGGCCTGGAATCCACTGTATAGGCCAGGCTGGACACAAACTCAAAAGAGGTCATCTGTCTTTGTCTTTGGAGTGCTGGCATTAAAGGTGTGTGCCACTGTGCTCTGCTCTCCATTAGTCTTTTTAACAGAACTAAATAATGATAAGGCTGTGTTTGTTTTCCTGAAAAGAAAATACATATTCAATTACCAGCTGTGCCGTATTCTAAAGAGTTGTCATATTTTCCTAAGGATTACTATTTTCTATTGTCAACTGCCATCAAAATTTTAAAACTTGTGTTTTAAACCTTAGAGAATGTGCAGTGTCCCTTTACTTTTGCTGAGTGGATAAATTACTGTTAGACAGTGAAACAAAGCCCTGTGATTACATAGGACCTTGGGTGGCTTCCAGTGCCCTCCTGTGCTTTTAGTCATTGAGTGTGATTACTGTATTTATAGTTTTGGGTTAAATACTGAAGGAAAATAGCCCAATTTCAGGAGTAGAGAACACTGTTTAAGCTGCTCAGCTTTTCTTCTAATCTTGGCTTCTAAGCTTTGCCTTGGTCTGGGAAAGTGTTAGCAGGTACACTGAATTCCCAGCACGCTGTGTGTGGGGCCTAACCTTCTGAGTTTCGTGTTGGCCAAAAGACTATGGGGTGTGTGTGTGGGGGGGGGGGGCTTTTGTATTCTTCCTGTGGTTGTAACATGAGAAAATGCATTCCTTTGGGATATACTGTAGTGGAGTCTAGATTTTGGTGGTTGTGTTGCTTTCTTTAAAAGCTTGCATTCTTTCATCGGTATGCTATCTAAGAAACATGTGGTCTTTATTTTGTTGAATAAGAAGCTGTCCACCATCTTGTGCACTGTGACAATTAAAAGATAATTAAACTGTTAACAAAACAAAAATTTTTTAAAAGTGCTTGCTGTCATCATCTTTCCCAGAAGACTAGTACATGTGATTTACTATAGCAAGATTATAGTTTTCTGTTGGCAAATCACATGTACTATTAAAGAGGTCTTGTGGTCCAGGACACACTGATATGGAAACTAAAGCTATTTATTCACGTGGAGAAATAGGTTAGATAGTTTGGGGTTTTGTTTGTTGTAGTTGTTTTGATTTTGATTTTAAAGTGGTAGCCTAAAAGCCAGATATCATAGTACACAACTTTAATCTCAGCACTCAGGGAGGCAGACATGGGTTCGAGGCCAGCCTAGTCTACAAAGAGAGGTCCAGGACAGCCAAAGCTACACAGAGAAACTTTGTCTAAAAAAACCAAAAAAAAAAAAAAAAAAAAAAAAAAAAAAAAAAAAAAAAAGGTGGTGTATGTGAGGGTATAACCCAAGCTTTGAGAGGGAGAGATAGGAGGATCAGGATTTTAAGAGGTCATTCTCTGCTACATGTCCAGTCAAGGGTCAATCTTGACTACATGAGTCCCTTGCTCAAAAAACAAAAAGAAGGAGAAAGTGATAAAGTGGAAAGAGGGTAAATATTTAAGATATATTTTTTTGAGGGGAATAGTTTATTACAGAATATATTCTCTGAAGTTAAACATCATAAATTCAGTTTGTAACTTAGTTTTATGCTTGTGGCATTCTAAATTAATCTTGGAGATAAGTTCTTACATGCTCCTAATTTTTTCTTCCTTTTAATGATACAAGGTCAAGTGTTGCATTTTAGATACTATATTGTATTTAGTATACATTTTAAGTTTGCAATTTTTTAAATGTAGAAATGTGTCTAACTTTTACCATATAGTCTTAAGTAATGACTTGTTTCCAGTGCTCTTGTAAAGAACAGTTAGAGTGATCCAATAGCTTCTCAGTGTTAAGCATTATTTAAATAAAGTTTTGTGCATGCTACCAAGATGTGTTCTTATCATTTTGAGCCCAGTTATGTTTTTGCGCATACTCAGTTCCTAGGCACTGAGACTTGAGATGACTTTTTACTTCCAGTAAGGTAAGTGCCTTATTCGTTTTACTGCACATACTGGCCAGTTTTTCATGTTAACTGTAGATGATAGACTACAAACAGAAGCACTTCCCTTCCAACATCCAGTAAAAAGATTATGCTTGAACTTCCGTATTTAAAAAAAAAAAATAGGTAATTTAGGATTTGTCTCAACTCTCCTTTGGTGTTGTTTTCTTTATTTCTCCTATTATCTATAACTACCTTAGAAAATTAACATCAAATAAAAAGGAATGGAAAAGTTGAAATGACAGTTATGATTTATCATTCTCTACTTTCAGATGATCACAGTCGTGTTAAACTGCAAGGTACTGAAAATGATTATATTAATGCCAGCTTAGTTGACATAGAAGAGGCACAAAGAAGTTACATCTTAACACAGGCAAGTAGTATGGTGCCGGGCAGATGCCTGGAGAGTGGAGATTGGCTGCTGTGCTTTGAACATAGATAAATGTACATCTTAACATTTGCAAATGACATGCTAATTTTAGTTTTCTGATTCTGAAATCAAGTCATAGTTTTGAAACTTTGAGTTGGTAAAAAAAAGTAAGATTGTTTCTAATGTTATGTTCAATGGAGGAAATTCTTCTGAAATGGCTTGGTGCAGTTCTCTTCAGGTAAATTAACTTCTTGCCCTGTGTCTAACATAGCTTTTGTTACTTTTTATTAATGGTTTGGAGTTCTCTTCCCCTAACTTGATATGAAGAACCAGGAAAGCCCTTGAGAGCCCTTTTCTGTCCATCCCTACACTATGAATGTATTTTCAGAGAGTACAACTGTGCTGAGGATAGGATGTAACTGTAGAGCCTAATATAGGTGCAGTCCTGCTGGGCTGCCTTATTATTTGTGTCTCTGTGTATATGTATAGGTACATGTGCACCAGGATGCCCACAAACGCCAAACATGGTTGTCCCCTAGAGTTGGAGTTACAGACTGTTCCCATACTGGGAACCAAACTCTGATTCTTTGGAAGAGAAGCAAGTGCCCTTGACTGTATCTGTAACATTATGTGAAGTTTTTAAAAGTTTAACAGATTATTGTAACCTGCTATTTGAAAGACAGAGAAAAGCATGAAGTGTTTTAAGTTCAACTTAATGTACCTGTGAGCCATTAGAATTTTCTCTGTCAGAGAAACAAATTATTTTACTTAAAGTAAAGTAGCTTCTGTAACTAAAAAGGAAAGAGAAGCAATCTGGTTAAGGATATCAGTTCACAACTCACAGAGCAAAATATAGATAGACAATACACATTTGAAAAGATGCTGTATTTATCCAGCTGCTAAGGAACATCGATTTTTGGTGGCCTAGGCACTGAGCCTCCAAGTACTCAGCAGCCTCCCCCCTCATGCTTCCTCTCTTTCCTACTCTCAGATCTTATCCTGTCCTCTGGTCCTAACCGTCCTTCTACAGTCACTTTCTAAAGGTAGTTTATACCTAGGAGAAGGAATATTGATGATTCTATCCAGAACTTTGACTCTGTTGGCCCCTTTGCTGATCTAATAAGAGTGATGAGCTGCTTCCTGCCAGTACCTGTAAGATGTAATGGATAATTAGCAAGAGTACCCTGACTGCTGCTCCAGGGATTGCTAGTGTTCCTGGCCACAAGCATCTAGTTACGGCATTACAAAACATATTTGTCTGCAGTGGTACCGTACTTAAACATCCAGGGTATGGAGAAGTAATTCAGCTACACTGAGACTAGTGCAAGAACATATACTAGTTCTTTGTGGAGATTGTGCTGGCTAACGACAATAAGCTGAAACTTTCCCTTTAAGTGTTTGATTCTCACTAAAGCTTAATCGAAAACAATTATTATTATTTTAACTTTTCCTAGATAGGGTTTCTCTGTGTAGCCTTGGCCATCCTGGAACTCACTTTGTAGACCAGGCTGGCCTTGCACTCACAGAGATTAGCCTGCCTCTACTTCCCAAGTGCTGAGATTAAAAGTGTGTACTACCACTTTGTGGCAAACACCTAGCTTTTATTATTTGAATCATTTGCCTCTTTAACTTGGACCTAGTATGATTTTCTTCATGTAGTTACTTGATAATAAACAACTAAATAAAGACTATAATACTCAGTGGTCACAAATGCCTGACCTGAGAAATGATAGTGTTTATATCCACCAACAGAAATGATAGTGTTTATATCCACCTTAATTTTTTTATAGGACAACTAAAACATTTTATTCCATTTTTCCAGGATGAGGAACACAAAATACAAAATAAGTCATAGTAAATACTCTCCTGTACTATCTCAAACCATTTGAATGTTGTATAAAATGCTCACAAAGCAAATATGAAAAGCTTCAACACATCTTTTGTAAATATTGCTGCAATAAATGCAACATTAACATACAACTTTTTTGTATCAATTTTAAAAGAATTACTAAATTACATACTACTATGTTGCTCATACATATTTATTCACTTTTAATGAGATCATTGCCAATACATACAATAGTCTCCTTAACTTTATTTTTACATTAATCCAATGTCTGTCATGCAGCCATCAAAACCCTGATAGTAAACCACACAGGTTTGTAGTCCAGTTTGGACTCCAGCTTCTTAGAGCCAGCCACTTTTCTGACTGCTTTCATGAAGTCTTCCATTCCCACCTTAATTTCATGACAGGACTGATGTGGGTTGAACGAATCAATCATATACATATCATTTAGGAGCAGCCATTTATGGGGATTGAGAGTTCAGTTTGCTGGTATATTTAACTGGAGTTTTATGTTCAGTCATAATCATTTATGATTTTCTTAAGTCAATATTCAGTGCTAAAATGTACTTTCTACTGAAAACATAAAAACATGGAAAAGCATGATGTATTACGCGATCATTGCTGTGACAATTACTTGAAGGGATTTTAAAAAGGAAAAGGTTTATTTTGGCTTCTAATTTCAGAGATTAAGTTTGAGGTCAGCTTTAAGGCTAAGGTAAGGCAGAATATTGTGGCAGCCAGGAAACAGTGCTTTGCAACAAGGCCATCCCCAGTGCTGTGCTTTCTCCTGCTAGACACTGCCTCCTAGTGCTGCTATACTAACCAACCAAGAAATTAACCTTTGATTAGGTCCATGCCGCTCAAAAGTCAATCAAGAGGCATCAGGTCTGTAACAGCCCAAGGCGAACATTTCATACCTAAACCAGGACAGATGATTGTTCAACCCTTAACACAGCTTTTCCTTCAGTATCATTGATTCTTTCTCTTATGCCCTAAAAACAGGTCTTTTAGCTATCGCCATGCGCATCAAGGGACCATGGTTTGTTAGTACTTTTGTTTTAGGCAGGGTAGGACCTAAGGACCTCACACACATGAGGTGAGTACTGCTACATCTGAACTATACTCCCTGCCTGGGATCTTAGTTCTCAACCTCTGTAACCTAAGGTGGGGTGTGCTCTGCTCTAACTAAATCTGTGCTAAGTCCTGATGAGAACATTTAATTGACTCTTCGTTCATCCAGAGATTTATTCAGAACTACAATGGCAGTCACTGCTCAAATAAAACAGGTTTTTGTTTTTGATTTTTTTTTTTAAAGGAAAAAACAAACCAGGAATGGTAATTGTCAATGCCATGCCTATGATCCTAGGCAGAGAGAGGGTCAGTGGTTCAAGGTCAGTCTCAATTCATGGGACCTTGTCTTTAAATAAATAAACACATAAACCACCTACCACTATGAACATTACATTCTAATGAGAAGTAAATTTATTTTTATGAAAAGTTTTATTAAAAGTTTTGTGGGCTAGCAAGATGCTCAGTAGGTAAAGGATTTACAACCTGAACTCAGTCCTGGGTCCCACATGGTGTAGAGAACCAACTCTTCTAAGTTGTCCTTTGACTTGCTGCCCTCAGTGACACATAATGCATATCCACACACACTCTGAAGTACACAACAAAATAAATAAACACAATAAAATAGTTTTGTAGCATTTCCTCTACTTTGCATGTTTTATATAATTTGACCTTTGAGCAACTTCTCTTTTAAATGCTATATTTTTGTTTTAAAGATTTTATTTATTCATTATGTATATCTGCTTCCATGTATATCTGCACACCAGAAGAGGGCACCAGATCTCATAATGGATGGTTGTGAGCCACCATGTGGTTGCTGGGAATTGAACTCAGGACCTCTGGAAGAGCAGTCAGTGCTCTTAACCTCTGAGCCATCTCTCCAGCCCTAAATGCTATATCTTATGTTACCATTAAATCATACTGTCATCAGTGAATAAGAAGAAGCCAAAATTTTTTTTCCTTTTTTCTTTTTTTTTAAATAAAGACGGGTCTCACTATGTAGCCCTGACTAGCCTTGAATTAACTTAATGCTAGGTATGATTAAAGGCATGCACCACCACCACACCTGGCTTTTCTCTGCTTTCTTATAATTGCTGTGTGATTTTGTACAAATGACTTAACTTCCTAAGCATTTGTATCTGTATGTAGTGAAGGTTTTTCGTCCCGCCTTCCAGTTCCCAAATAACCACTCTAAGGCTTAATATTAATTATAATTGTTTGGCCAATGACTCAGGAATATTACTGACTAGCTCTGACAATTAAATTAACCAATTTTTACTAATCTCTGTATCACCACATTGCTGTGGCTTACTGGTAATGTTCTGGCATCCATCTTCTACTGATGCTACATGGCATCTTCCTGATTCCACCTTCTTTCTGTATCTCTCTTTGACTTTCCTGCCTAGATATATTCTGCCCGTCATAGGCCAAAACATCTTTGTTCATCAACCAATAAAAGCAACTCATGCCCTGTGTTGGTGGCACACACCCTTAATCCCAGTACTCAGGAGGCAGAGGCAGGCAGATCTCTGTGAGTTCAAGGCCAGCCTGGTCTCCAGAGAGAGTGCCAGGATAGGCTCCAAAGCGACACAGAGAAACCCTGTCTTGAAAAACAAAAAAAAGGCAACACAAATTTGCAGCATACAAAGGGGCATCCCATATCATCTCCCCTTTGTTGTCTAATTAAAAAGGAAGGTTTTAATTTTAACATAGTAAAATTATATGTAACAAAACAGTTACCAAGCAAGAATTATAGCTACAATGTTTTAAATTAAAAGAAAATACTCTATCATCTATCCCATTTTTGAGAGTCTAAAATTTTATATCTAATTTATCTTTTATCATAGCTAAGGAAACTATAAGTATCTAGTATTTAACCCCAAAAGGATATATTACCTAAGTAAACAGGAAGTGCATTGTAAGCAACTTCAAAAACTCTAGAAATGACAGAGAAATCTGGCTGCCTGGGCAGCCACCTAGAGACTCTCTGTAATGTAGGTGCATCCATCTTCAGCCTACAGGCCTATAGTATCTGGCAGACTTTTCACTGAAGTAGGAAATATGAAGGACTGTTCTGCCTATTTTGGCA